CTAATATAAAGGTTAAATTTTATATGTAATATAAGTTGGTTTTAAAATTTTGTGATTATAAGCAAATGTAACTATAGAGAAGAAGACTGCAGAGAGGTCAGACTGTAATACGTAAATATAAATTTTTTATAATAAAACATAAAATTTTTACTTCATAATAAAGTTTTGTTAAAATATTATTATAATTTATAAAAATTTATAGTGTTGCATTGTTTATGATTGCCAGTATACTTATTTAAATTATACGTATAGTAATAAAGCATAGCTAAGGTAATTAAGGTGCCAATCAAATAGAGTTTTCTATCATGCTGTTTAAATCGATGGCAAATAAAATAAGACGTTATAATAAATGAATAATTTTTTTCAATTTACATGAATAGTAAACTTGTGTACTGCACACGGACACGTATCAAATTCAATTTTATGATAATCATATACTATCAGAACAAATGATAATAAAAAGTCACTAAGTATAGATAACAAGTATCGATGATAAGGCATGTTGAAATTTAATACAAGCACGGTTGTCCAACTTGGACCTAAATTTGAAATTTAAATCAGGAAAAGTTAATCCGTCATTATGTACATGTGACATGTGTGCGTACTATTTATGATGTCTTGCCTTTGGACAATTACACCACATGTAGTTATGTACGCAGACATTCCAAACAATGTCTCTCGGATTATTGAATACAAATAATCGAAATTGTATACGGCAGATTTACGTAATACGACAATAAACGTACTGTATTACCATATTATTAGAGAAGTTATCAAAAAGACACTTTATTATCCAGTGAGAACCATGTATTACTTCAAATTAATGTTGTAATAAAGCGTATAGCATTATTGTTTATTTCTAATAAATATAAACAAAAAAGTGTAAACGAAAAAAAAACGTGTACAGAATAAATAAATAATAGGGGTTTTTTCCTTAATTTTCCGAATTTGATCGGGCTCCTTCAATATCAGCTAAAACCATTTCTTTTACCAAAGAATCAAAATCCACTTTTCGCTTCCAACCAAGTTGTCTATTTGCTTTTTCAGGATTTCCAAGTAACAAATCTACCTCGGTAGGACGGAAGTACTTTGGATCAACTCGCACACGAATGATGTTTGTGTCTTTTTCACGACCAACAATTTCTTCACCTTCACCTTCCCAAACAATAGACTTGTTGATCACAGCGAACGATTTTTCTACGAATTCACGGACAGTATGAGTTTCACCTGTCGCAAGGACATAGTCATCTGGACATTCTTGTTGCAACATCAACCACATTCCCTCTATTTTAAGAAAAACAAAGTTAACTTGTTGTTTCCTTTAATAGTAAAGATTTACGATTTCTCATGTATGTATGTTAACTTACCAACATAGTCTCTTGCATGTCCCCAATCACGTTTTGCATCGAGGTTACCAAGCCAAAGACACTCTTGTTTACCAAGATGAATTTCGGCAACTGCGCGTGAAATCTTTCGCGTTACAAACGTACGACCACGACGAGGTGATTCATGATTAAAAAGAATACCATTACAAGCATACATGTTGTAGGCTTCACGGTAATTAACAACTATCCAATAGGCATATAATTTTGCAACACCATACGGTGAACGAGGATAAAATGGTGTAGTTTCCGATTGAGGAGTTTCCACAACTTTTCCATAAAGCTCGGAGGTGGACGCCTATAAAGATAAATATTGATTAATCAAATATAAATTATTGTTATGAGTAATTTTACCATAATATTAATAATTGAAATAAGATTTATACCTGATAAAATCTAACATGATTTGTGAGGCCGACAGTTCGTATGGCATCTAACAAACGTAAAGTACCCAATCCGTCAACATCACCCTAATTTTTGGATAAATCAGATGTCGGTTTACGAAATGTGAATGCGTTCACTGAACATGAAATATATAAAATGGTTGTTACACTTACAGTATACTCGGCCATGTCAAAGGAAACTTTTACATGAGATTGTGCACCCAAATTATAGATTTCTGTTGGAAGAACCTGTGATACGATATGCACAAGATTGGTTGAATCTGTCAAATCACCATAGTGAAGAACCATCTTTGGACCTAAATAAGGAATTATTTCGATTATTTTATTTGATGATCAATGATTGCAATTCGAATTCGAATGATGAATATATGCCAAATTTTAAACCGTCATAAAGACGTTAATTCTATTTAAACTTACGTTCGTGTTGATCTTTGTAAAGATGTGTGATTCTTCCTGTATTAAAGGACGATGAACGACGGATTATTCCATGAACGGTGTATCCTTTAGATAAAAGTAACTCGGTGAGATAAGATCCATCCTGACCGGTAATACCTACAAAATTTCCAGTTAGCTTTTATGTATTGCGTATCTTCAAGATTTAGATCTAGGTATCAACACTTATTCATAACTTATTTACCAGTGATTAAAGCTACCTTCCTTTTTCTATATTCTTCGGGAGAAAGTGAAAGAACTTTAAGAATATCGGATGAAACTACAGTACCACTCATTATGTATTATTATTATTATCTTTCAATGAAAGTAAATTTTTTTTCTAATGGTAAAAGAATGATTAAGGACGATTTTTGAATTAATTCTCGAGAATAAACTTAAATACACTCAACACACTCTTATTGGATAACGTTGTACATATATAAATGCTTCATTATGTTGTAGTATTTATATTAGTACGACGTTTAATTGGGCGAATAATGTCGTGCATGCATAAATGCGATTACTGTTTTATATTATTAGGCCATAAAAAATCTAAATGCAAATTTCTTTGTTATCGTTATCGGTTTCTCAAACCACATGATATTAACTTGGAAAGTTCCAAGTTATTCTAAGGTTGAAGTATGCAGGTTAAAATGGTTTGACCATAATATCCTTATAAATTAGAGACCCAAAAAGGATATGATCAAATTCCCGTGATCCGCGAATATTACTACGTAACTACGAGTTCAAACACTTATCGGAAATTACAAATTAGTCAGGTTTGAATAAGATTTAAACGGAGATATCTTTTTTTCTCCTCCTGTTGATCAAATTTCATGATTCAATAATTCTATTTTGGGTGTTTTTTTACAAAAACAAACAAACCATTTTTAATTTTGAACCGCAGTTTATTGGTAATATAAATCATCTACATTGATTCGCATAATATTTCATAATTCATAAATACATATTGAAAAAAAAGAGGCTTATCGATCGTTATCAAACTCGTTTCCTTAAATTTTTTCTACGAGCGAGATCATCGATTGGTCTTACAGAAAAGAAAAAAAATACTACATATACATTCATTTTAGAGCGGTTTTCCATTTTATTTTTTTTCTTGACATTCCTTTTTTGACATTGTTTCACGAACAAAAGATTTTTTTGGATTAATTTGCACAAAAAGAGAACGATTTTTTTAATTCGGTATTTTTTTCACACATAGATTAATTATTAATCAAAAACGAACGAAAATCACTTAAACTTCACTTAAACATTTTAGAAGAATTTGAATCATATTTTTTTAAACAAACATCACATTCATATAATATACTGTACATCTTTTTTTTTTTTTTTTAGTGTATTTTTTTTTTTTTCTCTATCCTTTATTAACAGATGACAGATTTCACGACTATATTATTGCGAGATTTAACACAATTGCTAGAAAAAGGTACCGACTATAATGTGGTAATCCAAGCTGGTGAAGAACCTAATACAAAATCATTTCGAGCTCATTCTGGAATTTTAAAAGCGAGATGTCCGTATTTTCAAACAGCTTTATCTGAGACTTGGGTTAAACAAGAAGATGGTATTATTATTTTTTCTAAACCTAATGTTTCGGCCGAAGTTTTTGAAGTTGTACTTAGGTAATTAAAAAGAAATCCTTGGTTCCTTTTTTTTCATTCTTAATGATTAATTTATAAAGAATTTTTATAGATATATTTATACGGGTAGAATAGCATTAGATAAACATGATGGTGTAGATATTCTAAATTTGTTAATGGCTGCAGATGAATTAATTCTCCACGATTTATTCGGTTATATTCAACAACATCTTGTTACATATAAAGTTCAATGGATGGAAGATAATTTTGATTTAGTGCGTCGCACCGTTTTTCAAAATGACCGTCTAAAAAGACTTCAAGAATATTGTGTTGGAAGAATATGTAAAAATCCTTCTTTATTATTTGATTCTGATGATTATCTTTCTGTTAATATTAATGTTCTATTAAGAGTACTTCAACGAGATGATTTACAATTGGATGAAATTGAAGTTTGGGATTATCTTATCAAATGGGGAATTGCTAAGACTGCTGCTTCATTTTCATCAACTATTGATTTAACATCATTGGATATTTTTCAATGGAAATCTGAACATTTAAGTAGTTTACAGGCAACAATACAACAATGTATCCCACTGGTTCGAATATTTCAAATTTCTTCAAATGATTTTCATAGTAAAGTAATGCCATATAAAGATATTATACCTAAAGCTTTGTTCGAAGATGTAATGAGATATCATATGGTACCGGATTGTCCGCGACCTATCTCGTTAATGCCCTCTAGGCGTGGAGGGATTGAATCTAATTTATTACGTGCTAGACATGCTGCTTTGATTTCTAGTTGGATTGATAGAAATGACTTAAATGCATTTTACAATACTACCAGTATTCCTTATGAATATTCAAATATTCCTTATGAATTTAAATTATTGGTCCGTGGAACTCGAGATGGTTTCTCTCCACAGGCCTTTCATAATCGATGTGACTTTCAAGGTGCTACTGTTTTAGTTATGAAGATTCATGGATCAGGACATTTGATTGGTGGGTATAATCCATTAAATTGGGATTCAACGAATAAATGGGGAAATACAAAGGACAGTTTCTTATTTTCTTTGGGTGATGGTGAAGATATCAAAGCAGCTTTACTCTCAAGAGTTCAGGAACCTTCGAGAGCTGTGCTTTGTTCACAAGCTATAGGGGCATGCTTTGGTAGTGGTGATTTGGTTATGGGTGGAACTCATTCCAATTTTAATGTAGAATTAGGTTGTTCATGTAAGCGGCAATCCTATGAAAGACCTTTGATGATTACTAATCATGATAGGTTTAGTGTTGATGAATATGAGGTTTTTAAGATTGTATCAAAATTAGGAACAGTTGGAACTAGACAGAATTCTGCTAGTAGTAGTGGCAGTGGAAGAGGAAGTAGAAGATTTTCTTTTCTAATATCCCAACTTAATCATGCTACTCTTAATTAATTATAAAGTTATTTTATATATATACATCAAGAAAGCAATTAAATAAAAAGCATTTTTTTCAATATTTTTGCAAATATAACAGTAATATTAGGTAATTGTACCACATACTGTGGCATATTTAAAAGTTTTTTTATTAGTTTTATTATAATATTTAGCATAAAATTAATTTATAATCTTTATAGCTTACAATAAAACGTACCTTAAACTAGTTAAACAGCTATTTAAAAATTCTGTAAATACAACTAATAAATTAATTAAATATTACAGTATGTATATAAGAGTGTTGATTTGTATAAAACACTAAGAGTTTTGCTTATATAAAAAAAATAAAATATTTAAAAATATTTAAAAAATTTAGTATTTATTAATACAAATATCTTTTTTTAATTAAGTGCTATAATAATTATGTGTTTTGTAAGGCCAACTTGTAAGCAAATCTTGTGTAATAAATCTAATTTGCAACTATATATTATAACAAAAAAAACATCTTTTAAAAGAAATTAATATTTGTTACCTTAAATAATTATAATATAATTCTCATTCGAAATTAATGAATATAACTTTCGTAACCTTATTTTTAAACCGTAATTGAGTCAATAAAATGAAAATATATATTAATAAATATTCCATCATTTTGTATTAAATACAGAAAGACCGCCCTGAATGCACCTTCCGTAAATGCTCCCTCTATGTAAAATTTCTTTAACTATATATTTTTGCTGGTGCATATTTTTTAAATTTTTTACTATGATCCCGAGGGGAGTGCATCTAGAGAGGTCTCAATATCTTTAAAATGTTTTCATGCATAATTTATAAATATATGTTACGGCTAATACTCACGTATTTTTAAAACGAAACGAAATTAATGACCACTTTGCAGCGGAGGCACTGAAAAAAAATCGTCCACCTCCAATTTAAGAAAAAAAAAAGAAAAGAAAAAAAAGAAAAAAAACAAATAGAAATTAACATTGGAGAATAGACCTTTATATACACGTTTGAACTCTATTTTTAGAAACGCGTATCTGTAGATCATCAACGACAAATAATTAGGGTTAGTGTTTGTGGTCAACCGACTTAACTATGCCAAATCGATCGTTCATAGTGTATAAAGATTTGCATCCTGAATGTTTCCTATCGTACATAAGATGTCTGGCCGTATTCACTGTTATATGCAGTTCTAGTCGGCTCGACTAAGTCGACTTTTTAACAATCGGTTGACTTAGTTGACTATAGAGTTGGGATCCTTTGAATATCCATCATAGCTATTTAATGAATATTCACGGATTTTAATCATTCGCGAATAATAATGAATTCACGGATATTCAGGGAATTCGCAGATATTCATGGAAAATTTGCGGATATTCAGAGAATTCGTGGATATTCCGCGGGTATTCATAGAGAATTCGCGAATATTCACACAGATATTTACACGGATATTTGCACAGAAATATTCACGCAGAATATTCACGGATATTTTACACGGATATTTTATCCGTGAGTATTTGCGGATCCCAACTCTAATGAATATAATCGCTATAAATAGCCTAAATATCTGAAATATTTAATATTGATAATCTGGTTGACACTTTTTTTACTCAGGAAAAAAGTTCTAAGATTGTGGCCTATCAGGTAAAGCTCCTTTTGCAATTAAAACGAATGAACAATCTATTAAAAATTGTAGATTGCATTCATATAATCATCACACACGAAGAAGGCTACGATCATCATATTATATGAGGAACATACATGCATTTATATATTTTTTTATAAAATAACCATCTAACGCAAATAACACTAAATAAATATATTATAAATATATATAATTCTTTTATTAAATAACATGCCTTAAAAATTCCGAAATTCCCACTTTTTTGTCTTTTAAATAAGCACCAACTAATTGATAATCATATCCAAGATAATGAGTCCACCATCTAACATATAAAGTTTCTAAAGGTGCCTGAGTATTTTGTAAAAACAATTGCATAGGTGTGTCCCCTAAATAAATCCAAATGTTAAGATGCCTTAATGTAGTCGGCATTAAACTACCCAACCCACTCCACAATTCTTCACTATCCCAAGATACCCGATCCATTCGAAATATACTAAGACTTCGAAGTTGACAATCTGGTGATGTAAGGATATCAGTCAAATGACTTATCTGTAATGTACCTATAGGGACGCCAAGTCGCACTACTCGAGGACAACATTGAGCAACTGATTCAATTATTGTTGGAGACATTATATGATGTTGTTGATTGTCTACTGGTTTATAATAAACTTCTTCTAGATTTGTAGAATTATTATGAATCAATGAAACTACTACATTATCCCACCCGTATGTTGACTCTATATGTATTTTACGAAGAGATGGAAATGTAGCACATACTAATGGAGATAAAATTTCTTCAGTGGCATTCAAACAATTCAAGATAGTTAACTCTTCAAGATTTCTACATGCAGCCAACCCCTCAAAAGTTGGCTCTTGCAGTGTGGTTGAAGTAAAATGAATGTAACTAATTTCCACAGATATTAAAGATTTTGCTTGAGCACCCAATGAAATAAGAGTTAAAACAGGATATGTTGCGTATCCGAATAACTTAAAGTGTAATAAGTTCTTTTGAATTTTTATCAAAGATGCTAAATTTTGTTCATCCTCAGGATGTGGAGGGATATTAAAAGAATAACCAAGAACCTGTAAATTTTCAATATTTCTGGCGTATTTAGCTAAGTAACCAAATATTGACCAATCAGTTATATAGTGAATAGAGAATTGTCTTAATTTGGCCAGGTAAGTGTCTATACCGGCCGAGTAGAGTAGCAGCGGATACGCTTTCCAGATTTCCATATCACCCCAGTCGAGGGATAAAGACCTAATGCTCGAACGTCGACTGAAGAACAATCTGCATAACGCTTGATATATTACCAAACTTGGTTCTGTATTATGGCTACGCCTAGAGGAAAAAGTAAAGTATTTACATACGCATTACATCAAATTTATATTATATTATAGGTAAAGAAGAAATATATTAACGTTAAACTACCGTTTTGAATTAGTAGAAAGGGAAGTTTGTGTCCGATCTGTCCATTTAAGAACTATGGTATAAAGACTTCCCATGCTAACATGACGCAAAAATGATACATAGTCAAAGATCGGATTTTGTCGACGGTTGGTAACAGAAATACCATTATCAACTAGATGTATTCTTTCAAGGTCAGTTAAATATGACATATAAACATCAATGATTGACGATGGCGTTGAATCTTTAAAAGGCCGAGCCCATAATATAGGTACTGAACTCCTAGACCATAACCTGTTGACTAAAACACACGATTGTAGTGATTTATGATCATCTTCCAAATGTGAAAATATATCAATAAGACAATCAGCCGGAAGTGTCAATTGACTGTTTCCAGATGAATATCCACGAAGTTCTGGTGTACTTGATCTAGAAGTTTTATGCCTTCGATCTTTAAAGGCTCTGGCTAGTTTTCTTTTAATAGCATTGAGACGTCTTCCCATATTCAAGACACATGGACTCAATTAATTAAAATTGTGCTTATTCGTATTCCGTTTTTTTTTTTTTATATATAAAAAAAAACGGATGCCGTGGGGAAAAAAACGGCAAAAAAAAAAAAAAAAAAAAAAAAAAAAGAAAGGAAAAATTAACTAAGGGTTAATCATAACTCATGAAATTTATGTTTTGAGCCACATTTGGGAATTGTAACTCCGCCTTTGCGCCGAGTGTTACACAAATCAAAACGGTTGATATAAAGCCGGTGGTCTCGTGGTGTTTAAAGAACCAACTACATCAAACCAAAACAAGAAATGAACAAATCAAGGGATGAGATTATTTTACATGTTCTGCGAATGAATGTACTTAACAAATTCGCATTATCATTAGTAATTTTGCGATTAGAGGTGTCTTTCTAAGAAAACCGAAGTCCGGTTGAGCATTTGTATCACACATAACACAAATCACCATATGGTTTGACAGTTATTGTTAAAATGAAACTTATCGTTATATGATTGTTTTTTTAGCATTAGCAATAGCGATAGCATTTGCTGAAAACGGTAAATTTCCAAAACGGATGTTCTTTAAGATGATGTGTATCAAAATTTCTTTACGAGCTCACAATGACTGTGTGCACATCTGACTAAGGAAAAATCACAAGAGCCTGAGGGGGATCGATGTTACTGTTATACGCTAAACTATATTTATACAATCTTGACCTGCAATAGATACGTATATTATTTAATTAAATCTTATTATTTAACTTGTTTACAAATAATTAAGTTTAAATGTTAAAAAATCCCATTATTGGCTTAAGTATAAACATGCAATAATACGTACGTAAAAACTATGGATATATTATTTAAAGTTTCGTATTGGTATGGTTATTAAATTCATGTTCATATATATTTATGACTTCTTTTAATATTGTTAGTGATGCAAATGGCATGGACCTAGCCGCAAGTCAAGCGGCTAAATCGAACCGTTAAACTTTCGGCCACAGTTTACTAATAAAGTATCGTGAGCCAACAGATTCTTACGTATCACGTAATTATTGGTAAATAATAAATTCTCAACATGGCTAATATAAAAAAAATTTTTTTCATAAATTCATAAGACCACACAAAATTACAGTTATTATCATAAATCTTTGAGACACCTGACAAAAAATCAGCCGAATAATTTTCGGCCGATTTGTATTTATTTCGGCATATATGAAAGATATATATTTGTTCTACAGATAATTATGTCGAAACATTCAACATTAGAAATTTTTATTAATTCTTACCCAACATATTTGTGTTTAGTTTGTACGAAAATTTATGCAAAAGACTGTTCTTGTCAACAAATAAAAATATAAAAAAAAGCACCGGAGATTTGACTTGAATAACATTACACTAATATTTGAAAATCAAGAATTTGTCGAATGGTTTAAAAATATATATCCATATCTTTGAAAATGCTTGAAAACCTGACTTATATAAGATATGCTAACACTTAAGTATTTAGCAATTTTTCGAACTGATAAGCCTTCTAAACTTCTTTCAATTATTTGCCAGCGACGATACTCAAAATATCATATTTCTGTATCCGGAGATATGCATGCGTATGTAGTTTTATAATATTTATACTGGTTATCCAGAATTTATAATGATAACTGTAATTACTTGGTTTTATAAAATTTTGATAAATTTTTAAAAAATTTAAAAAATTTTTGAGGATTTGAAGATTTTTTAGAAATACTAGAATTTACAAGCAAAATTTTTTTAGGGGAATTTACAGATAAGGGCCCAAATACGAAAATAATTACAAATAAGGGCCCAAAATGAAAATAATTACAGATAAAGGCCCAATATTTAAAAATTATTACAAATAAGGGCCCAAATATACCATCAAAATTGCTAGCCTATTTAAATGTAATGGTATCATTATTAATTGCCTCATTTTGCAATTAATTAGGTAGTTTAAAGTTATAGCTCATTATTCGGAATTAAAAAAAAAATCCAACCTACCGGATTTTTGAAAACCTGCAATGCAAAACGAAAAATTAACATTGTGTGGCCTAATAGCTTTACTTCTCCAAGCTACTTTGTATGAAGTCTCAGCCCCCACTTCAAAACGAACACAATTTATAATATCATGAGGTCGAAGTACTGCTATATCTTTAACTAATGACGCAGTAAACTTTACAGGGTACGATCCACGCGCTTTGAATGATTCCATAGACATTAAAGAAGTTGGATCATGAGGTATCAGTCTTACTATATGAATGTAGTCATTTTTGCACTTGTTAGCTGAAATATTTAAAGGGCATGAACTGGTTTCATTTGGAAAACAAATAGCAAACACTTATTTTGTTTGTTCGTTCTGAACTTATATAAGAAGAAAATTCGACGAAATAACTATCCAAGGCCGAATGAACATTTTCATGTTAATAAAAGTTATACTGATCTGTAATTTTATATGGTATGGCGTTTGTTATAAGAATTATTATCATATTTCTTATGCACTAACAATTAATAACTATATTAAAATTACATTCAAATCATCTAAATTATAGGCTTTAATCAATCATTTGGGACTCTTATTGTAACAATTTTCAAATATTGGGTCTCTATCTGTAATTATTTTCATTTTGGTCCCTTATTTATAATTATTTTTATTTTTGGGCCCTTATCTGTAAATTTTTTTTTTTATTTAGGTAATATCTTTATTTGGTATTATTATTGCAACACAAAAATTATAATTTTTTTAAATTTTTTTAAAGTTAACATCAAGCAATTAGAAACCCAATATCATCTAAAAAGCATATTAAATATGGATTTTGTTAAAAAGTATACGCTGCACTTAGTACACCCCCTGTATTTCAAAATTTTATTAAAATAACCTCTGTTATATAACTAATAAAAAATGTTTGTTACACAATTTTAAACCTAACTCCTAACCCTAACCCTAGTATAAATAATAGTTTATTTATATTATTTGACAATATCACAAAATTTTACTAGAGTAACCCCTGTTATATATCTAATAAAACTATTTCTTGTATAATTTTACTAATAAAACAACTTTATTTTTAATCTTAATATTAATATTACTGAAATTTATAATGTAGTTATAATAAATATTTAATATAAGACAAATCATTTAATTATAAATACTATATATTCATAAGAAGAGATGTGTTTTAATATAAAAAAAAAATGAATTTTAACAGTAAAAAAAGATGGTGTTTAAATTGAGAAGATGGGTTTGGCATAATAATTATATTTGTTTTATTATTTTTGGAGTTTAGTTTAATAAATATATCATATAGTTGACATATATATTATATAATAATTAAATAGTAATTCAGAGTTTTTAATTTTGGCCCAATTTCAAAAATATGCTTAAATATATACAACTTTAGTTATTGTTTATTTAAGGATTCTACTATACTACTATAGTTACTTTCTATATATTATACCTAAGATTTGCCTGCGAATCCCTATTTAAACCCTTTAATCTAAGTTTTCTTATGCCAGATATATATAAGATTCAATTAACTATATTATCTTATAAACTTATGCTTCTTTTTTAAATAATATTTTACTATCTAATTTATAATAGTTGGGTTGATACTCTTTATACTATACATACTGTATATTGGGTCTTTGATATTTAAAATTTTAACATTACTATATTTTCTCTAAAATAAGCTATCTTTTTTGGTAAAAAAATTATTAAAAATTTTGTAAGTAGCTTATAATAAAAACATAGGCAAATTCACCTGTATTAGCTTACAATCTAAGAAATGGGTTTTTTAATTGGTTAATAGTAACCATTTCATTATTATTGTAAAACTTGGAATATGTTGTAATATAGATTACAATTCAATATAATTCGATAGATCAATCGCAAATTATTCATAACAATTTGCAAATTTGTTGGCAAAATAATCTAAAAAATAAAATTAGTATTTTGAGTGACAAAAAGGAAAAACGTGTGAACTAATTTGTTTATATATAAGCTGTATTTGATCACATTTTAATTGATGGGAATTCGTTAAGTCAGTAAGTCCTTGAAATTCTTCTTTTCCCCAATGCTACATGTCAGTAGTTGATAGGTTAACTCCGACTGTTATAAATAACAAATTATGAATCATCACCAGACCTTATTTAAGTATGAGAACGCCGAAAGTTGGCAAATCAAAGTTACTATAGTCCAAATTAATCAAACTTCTAATATACGTCACTATCTAAAATACAACCCAAAAATTTTTTAAAAATATCATTTAAGCTAACGACTGAATCACGATTATGAAAGTATGATCAAGGTCAAGATAGCACTACATACGGCTTAGACGAAATAAATAATTATATTTAGTTGACCAGTTGGATTCTCACTGATTCCATTCTATGAATAATTCAATCTTCTTTTCTGTACAGCTATGGAAGATACTGCGGATACTACTAAAGAGGTGACTCAAGAATTGAAACCAGAACAAGTATTTTTTTTCTTTTCATATCATTATTTCCGTTCATAACACAATTTACTCTCAAATATAATATTTTTTTGTTTCTTTTATTTATTTATTTAGGAATCTTCGCCAAAAAAACGTAGACGCACGCCCGAAAAATTACCTCAAGAAATAAAGCCCATGTCTACTCGCAAAAGATCTTCAAGCTCACAACCGTCTACCTCTAGTAGTAAAACAACATCAGGAGAACCTTGGAGCACGCAAGAAGATAGGCTCCTAATTGATAGTATGTTGGGATTGATCCCTTCAGTTCCTTGGGCTGAATTTGCTGAAAAGTTTCCAAATAGAAATGTCAAAAGTTTACAGAATCGTTGGCAATCTTTAAAAAAGAAGCTACATGGATGAAAAGAGAAACGAGTGGACAGTTTGTTTGGAAATTATCATGATGACTAGAATTAGAATATTTCATTGCTAAAGTCTTAAATGTTTTCCCTGTTTTGCAACAAATACATAATAATATATATTTGCTTGTTTTTTGTCGATACGTGAAAAGTGTATAATTAAAATCTAAAAGAGTTGATTTTTCTAATAAACTATGTTTCGATTACATCAAAGTGTTGTATACTTCTTAGCGTACTTTATGTAATACCTGATATGTGATTTATGATATGCCGTACAGCGCGAACCATAGTGCCCTACCCAGTGTTGGAAATCTAAATCGATTTTAATGCTCATGTTTTTTTATATGCTTATTAATAAAAAACTGGATAATTGATGTTCTCAGAAAACATTGAGAACATCACTGGCTCTACCATATCGAAGTACCCTCAACAAAATTATACGGTGGAATGTAAAAATCTCCAGGTATAGTACCAAACATGGACTTTGCTCGTGGAACGTATCCAGTGTACTATCAAGCTCAAAACATTCATCCAAAAATCATGCACATGAGCGTTAGAGGTGCCGTAATTGGTCTATTTGTTTTTACAAAAACTCAATTATATCATGACCCAGTAATCCAAATTGGATACCATTCGATTCGTTTCGAAGAAATAAATCGAATGGTACCAAAATAACAAGGATCACTGGATCACAAGATATTCGAAAAAAATGATTTAATAAATTGTGGCAAATAATGCCGTAATTCATTGAATCTTTTTTTTGCGAATATCCTGACCTGAACTGAATTATTTTGGTACTATTCGATTCGTCTCATCGAGATGAATCGAATCGTATCAAAATCATTCAATTCGGATTACTGGGTCACGATATAATGGAGTTTCGTAAAAACAAATACGACCCATTACAACATTGCGATCACACCTATTTACTATAGTGGTGAATAATTTCCCAGTTTATTGAGATAGCGGTAATAAATATTATTTGGGTCAGGCCTGCTAAAATATCAGACTGGGTTTGGGTCCTGTAAGCAAGCCAGATCGGTGCTACGAAGCCAATAACTTTATCTGGCAGCGAATTTAGCGTTAGGTAGTGTTTTCACAAAAAATTGTTCACCCCCTGTTATTTCAATTTTTATGCTATACCTAATCCTAAAAATTTTGATTGATCAAAATTACAAAGGATAAATAATTTTGTAGAAGAGCTAAAGACATCCCCTTTGGGGCCCAGAAACTGATATATTAAATTTTACGTAGCCAGATAATGAATTATTTTATATTCAATAACTATTTATTATTATTTATACTCCAGTGTCAACAAAATTATTTTGGGGTCTAAACCCCAAAATTAAAATTTGAAAACAATAAGGAATCTAAATTAGATTTGCTTTTTTATATAAAAAATTTTAATTTGCTTTAATGAAAACAAAATAAGTTTTTTTTCAAACCCAATTTTAGTAGTATATATACTTCAGATATATCTTTAGTTTTTGTATTAAATTTTTTTTTTTAGTTTAAATAGAAATACAAACATATATTTATATAATAGATTATAATTATATTATAATAGGTAACTAGGGGTGTGGTGACTTAGTGTAGTTGGTAAGTTGTCGCACCTCCAAGCAGCAGGACAAGAGTTTAAATCCCACTGGCAACGAAATTCGAATTTGTAAAAATGCGTTACAGTAAAACTGTATGATATATCGATCAGATAAGCACCTGTGACTTTGGTCACATCAGCTTGTACTGGAAGGTTGCAGAATGTTAGTGTGATGCATAAGTTATACAAAACCTAAGTGAAGCAACCAAATAAATCCAAAGAATCAGGGGATATAGAAGTCTACTTGGGAAGTTCTAAGTAGAGAGGTAGCACAGATTTTTGATGGTACTATATAAAGGATTATTATCTAGGGAGCTGGACACTAGCAGTAAACTGAATGAGAACTGAGTGTTTGGCAAACACTACATCAACCAGACCTCCAGACTAGCTGAAAGAAAAAGAATTTATTCAGAATATCAGAAGACTTCCTTCCAGACCATCTGAATTAGAAGTTTGGAACACTATTAATTGGTATTAAAATACTATTGATAGTCTGTAAAGTAGGTACTAAGGTTTGGATGAATTTTGCAAAGGCACAGAGTAGGTAACAGTAGCAAAGGTAAAAAGCCACAAATACTTGGCTATGGTCTAAATGTAAGTTATCAAAAATCTAGGTAATATATATGTGGAATATAAATTGCTCTAGTAGGTTTATTACAAGGATAAAATAGTTCTAAGGGGCCTTAGTGGTTGGGAAGAATATCTGATATACTAAGTTGATCAAAGAGTTTAATTGGATAACTCAAGTAATAGTGGGTTATAGATATGGCATCTAGTATTGTTCTTAGTAATAGGAAACTACTTAATTAGCCACTCAAAAGGTGCAGATATAGCTAGAATATATCCTCGTTAATGTAACAAAATCAGGAGTAGCTCATGTAATTGACCTGGCATTCAATTCAAAGTTTAATAAAACATATCAAATCCCAAAGGAGTTATCTTAACATTAAAAAAAAAAATAAAAATAAAAATAATAAATAATTTATATAAAAAATAATTTTTATATTTTAGTTATAATTTTAGGAAATTGATATTTTCACACCCTTTTTTGATATTATCACACCCCTGCTAACTCTAAACCCTAACCAAAGCCTAATAATTTATATTGATTTTTATTAACAAGAATGTGACAATATTAAAAAAGGGTGTGAAAATATCAATTTTCTAATTTTATTATATAAATATATTTATATAGCATTTTACTATAATTATATCAATAAGGAGTGTGAAGGTGTGGCAACTTAGTGAAATTAGTAAGTTGTCACATTCCCAAGTAGCAGGACAAGAGTTTGAATCTTACTAGTGATGAAATTCAAATTTTACAGAATATGTTATAGCAGACTATGTATAATCTGATGGATCATTAGCTTTATAACTTTGGTTGTATCAGCTTGTACTAGAAGAATGTAAAATTATAGTATGATGCAAGAGTTACATGAAATCTAAGTGAAACGTTTGTATAAATCCAAAGACTAAGATATACAGAATCCTGTGTCAGCCTTTAAAAAATTATATATTAATAGAATAAAGAAGCTTTGTATCTAACTCTACTTATATATCGAAAAACCTATTTAAAAAAAAAACATTCTAAACTAAACTAGAAACCTAAACAGAGTAGTTAGAAAAAGAAACCATAGTTTTAAAGTATTGTTTGCAATTTATAGAAGTCGAGGCACATTACTATTGTGTGTTCCAAATATACTGTTTCTATATGTAAAGATCTCTTACTCATTTTACTCTATTGCACCTGACCGAAGTCTACTGGTTTATTGGTAACTCAGATTACCTTGAGCTACACTAAATAAACAACATGTCGTAAATATTTGCTTTGGAAGATAAACAATACCGACTGTTTTGATGATTTTATATATTGATCTTTTGGAAGGAATAAACTGAGATGCCACTTTTTTAACAAATTTTCTCGAAAAAAGTGGTGGGTCAACGAAACTTTGTGAGTTCTTCCTTGTAGGTTTTACAGTTATATAGAGACTATTTCTAGTTTTTTTTAATATACTTAGCATTAACCTAGTCGTTCTATGTTCTCAGAATATCCTTCTGGTTTGGATGCTGAATATAATAGAGGAGTTCACTTGCAGTGTTATACATTGGACGTGTCTACACTATGTCCAATATCCAACGTCCAAGATTGTCCAAAATCGTCCAAGCCTATGTCCAAAGTAAAATAATCAATGAAGTAATTTAAAAAAATATTTAATTATATATTTTGTTAGGTGCTGGATTCATTTATGAAAAAATTAAAATAGATTATCTTAATAAAATTTTGAGTAATTTTAATTTGAAAAAATGTTCAAAAGTATCTAAAAGTGTCTATGTGATAACACTGCCACTTGCAAGAAAGCTTGACCTCTACAAAAACTATCCAAAGTAGTCTGCTCTTTAGTTTTACACCTTTGTACTTAATTGACAATATATCTACTTGTGTAGAACTAACTCTTTGATATCTTCTATAGCACTAACTATAGTTTAGATTTTTGGACTTGTTGATCTGAGGATCATCAAAAAGAATTGTATGGGTTTTTTCAATTATTTGATTTTTTGAATTATAATCAAAATAATACAAGTTATTTTGTTGATATGATTATTATTATTTTTTTTAATATTAAGGTAATTACTTTGGGGTCTGGCATGTTTATTAACTTTGATTGCAAATGTTAGAGCAGTTACAGAACTACTTCTGACTTTGTTATATAAATAAGGATATATTCTAACCATATTTGTATCTTTTAAGTGCCTAATTGAGTAGTCTGCCAGGACTCTGAAATACATACTGAAGGGTAAAGTTTTGCAAAAATTACTAAATATAAAAAGATCTGCAAGAAAAGGAGCAAAAATAAACAAACTAATTACTAAAAATAAAAATAATCTGCACAAAAAAAGGTTAAAAATAAGCAAACTCTAACCTGATTTATCTATGTATATTTTAGAGTCCTAGTCTGCCTATTACTAGGTTCTACACTAGATGTTGTACCTATAATCTACTATTATTTAAGTTACCTAATTAAACCCTCTGATTAACTTAGCACTATTAGATATTTTCTCCAAAGAAGAACTGCCGCTAAGGTCCCTTAGGACTATTTTATCTTTATAGTAAATCTACTAGAGCGGTTTAAGTCTTACACATGTATCACCTAAATTTTTGATAATTTATACCTTAATTGCAGCCAAGTACTTGCAGTATTTTATCTCCACTATCATCACTTACTCATTGCTTTTGCAAAGTTTGCCAAACCCCAACATTAACTTTACAGACTATCAACAGTACTTTGATGTCAACTATTAGTACTCTAAACTTCTAATCCAGATAGCCTGGGAGGAATTAGTAGGCATCTTCTAATATTTTGAATGAATTCTTTTTTCTCTGATTATCTGGCAGCCTGATTTGGTTGATATAGTATTTGCCAAACACTCAGTCCTCATTCAGTTTGACTTTGGTA